CTGCTGATGCACGATAAAGTGCCATTGGCTTTTCTGATGGCTTCGTCACACTGCCGACTCATGTTCATCTTGGAGTCCACTAGGACTCCAAGATCCCTTTCTGCTTCCATGCTACCCAGCAGGTCATTTCCTAGGCAGTAGGTATGCTGGACATTTTTCCTCCCTAGGTGCAGCACTTTGCATTTCTCCTTGTTGAACTGCATTCTGTTGTTTTCTGCCCACTTGTCCAACCTGTCCAGGTCTGCTTGTAGTTGTTCCCTGCCCTCCGGCATGTCCACTTCTCCCCACAGTTTTGTGTCATCCGCAAACTTGGACAGAGTACACTTCACTCCTCCGTCCAAGTCGCTGATGAAGACATTGAAGAGTATCGGTCCAAGGACCGAGCCCTGCGGGATCCCACTGCCCACACCCTTCCAGGTCAATACCGACCCATCCACCACGACTCTCTGGGTGCGACCCTCCAGCCAATTCGCCACCCACCAGACTGTGTAGTCATCCAAGTCACAGCCTCTTAACTTGTTCATCAGCATGGTGTGGGATACTGTATCAAAGGCCTTCCTGAAGTCTAAGTAAATGACGTCAACCCCTCCTCCTGTGTCCAGGCGTTTTGTGACCTGGTCATAAAAAGAGACTAGATTAGTCAGGCATGATCTACCTGCTACGAACCCGTGCTGGTTTCCCCTCAGCACAATTTGTCCTGCCGGGTTCTCGCAAATGTGAGCCTTGATAATTTTTTCAAAGACTTAGGTGCTTCACAATGGATTCCTTGAGAACCTGACCATAATCTTTCCAGGTATCAAGGTCAGGCTGACTGGTCTGTAGTTCCCTGGATTCACCTGCTTCCCTCTCTTAAAGATGGAGACTAGATTTGCCCTTTTCCAATTATTTGGGACCTCACCCAATCTCCATGGGTTTTCAAAGAGGTTTCCAGGGCCCATGGCCCTGGAATTACCTTAGCCCATTCCTTCAGTCCTTTTGGGTGTATCCCATCCAGCCTTGATGACTTAAAAGCATCTAACCTCTCAAAGTAATCCCACACCTGTTCAACCATTAATCTAGGCTGTTTGTCTCCTTCCCTAGCTTTGCTGTCAGTTGCACTTGTCATCTGGTAGCACCTCTTTTTGTGAAAACTGAGATAAACAGGCATTAAATACTTCAGCCTTCTCTGCAGTGTTTATAACTGTACCCTCCGAATTTCATAATGGACCTATGGTTTCTCTAGTCTTCCTTTTACTTTTAACATACCTTTTTATTCCCTTTGATGTCCCTTCTCTGCTTGCATCTCAGGGCCTTGCACAGCTTTCAGCTGTGAGATGCTCAAATGTTGATCAGTGTTAGTACTAGCTCAAGTTTGGAGCAGTCACACATTTGGGCCAGCAGGGGCCTGGAGGACTAAAAGGAAAGAATAACCCCTGCTCCCATTCTGGGCTTCCCCCCTGCCCCTTGCTCCCCAGGGCTTCCCCCTTGCCCCTCAGGGTCCCTGCCTGCCCAGCTAGTTAACCTGATTGCCCAAGTGATGCTCTTTTCTGGGTAGCCCCACCCAGGGAGCAGCAGCAGTCATGGCCGACAGGCAAGTTAACCTTTCATGCCTGCTTCCCAGGGACAGACAGTGTGGGAAGCCACAGGTAAGTTGGGAGGAGGGGAGGGGGGCAGCGAATAGGGATCTGGGGTGCTGCGGAGGATGTTCACTGTAACATGTAGCTTAGAGTGGCTACTCTTTACTGTAAAATAAGCTGGGTAACATGGATTAGAGATAAACCTAGGCTGGAGTGGAATAACTTTAAGACGCCTAAAGAGTGCTTAAAATTAAGTGTTAATGTGTGGACAGTCCAAGAGTTAAGAGCTTCAGGAGCCGCCTAAAATTAACATGTAATAAGGCCCTTAGATTGTGCCTTGGCTTTCGTATTTTCTTAATGCATGCCTGTGTTATATTCTTATACTCTCTTCCCTTGTACTTGTCTCGGACGGCCGGAGCCGACTCGAGGTGATTTTCGAAATTACTAGTTTGCTGGGCGGGCTGGTGAATGGAGAGGCAGACAAAGCTTAATGGTTGCAAAAACTTTACTTATGCCGCTTGTAGCCGCGACGCAAACGGTCCAGTCATCTGAACAACTATGTGAGTTGGGCCAGCTAATCCGTCCACAAATTAAGCCGGTGGGGAAAGGGTACGTCGAGGATTGTGCTCGGTGACGGGGAGAAGAATCGATAGGTGATCAGTCTATCGATCAGCTCAGCCGCAAGTCAGATCTCTTTAGAGGCACTCTGCAGCGTGCTCAAAGTTCTCCGACTTGGGCGGAAGTCGCACAATTTTAAACAGCTCTAGCAAGCCAATTACTAGCCGCCACGTAGGAATAATTTAGAACTGGCCAATAGCGGGACACAAATTTGCATTCAAATGGCAGGAACTCTCTTGCACTGGGGTTTTTCTGTTGCAACAAAAAC